CGGCCCGCCCCCACCCCCACTGCTGAAGTGCTGCCAAGACTGCTGCTGCTGTCCTTCTGTGGGAGAGGGGAAGAGAAAAAGAGGGAATCAGGGAGGGAGACTGTGACGGGCCATCAGCCAAAGCTTATCTGGGAGGCTTGAGCTGCTGGTCGTTACTGTCTTGAGAGACAGAGCTGCAGTCCTCATTCTGCAACCAGGTGGTCTCTTTAGAAGGGGCTGAGGGTTGAGATAGAGATAAGGCCTACACCTAGACAGAAAGAAAGAGAGGGGAAAAGGCAAACAAGCCATGAGGGAGAAGGAGAACACAGCCCTACCCATAGTGAGGAGCTGATAGCTGATAGAAAGGAGAAGGCTGTGGAGAAAAAACCTGCTCCTTCTATTTTGTCTGCTGACACACCACTTTGTTTAGATCCAGAGACGTGCTGTTGTCATTTCACCAGCCAGTCACAGAGACATTAATATGACTCAATGACTGGCTCAATGTCAGGTGGATGCTGCACATTGGTGGTGGGCGTGGGATTCCCCATTACCAGTAGATAACAGGTTTTCATTTCATTTACCTCAGCGCTTTGAGTGGAATGTCCAGAAAAGCATTATATAAGTGTAAGGAATTATTAATTATTATGATTGTATGGTACATTATGCTCAGACTGACAGTGAGACACTAGTGCAGATTTGTTCCCAGCTATGTGTTTCTCTCCTTTTCTTATTCATCCTGCTCCATCTCTCTTTTGCAACAGTATCCATCGAATAATCCCGATATTTCTCTTTCTCATGCTCCTTCTCCCCTAGCTTCCTCCCCTTCATATCTTACCTGTAAATGTCGATCCAGGTCCCTCTCCCTCTCTCGTTCCCTTTCCCTCTCTCGTTCCCTCTCTCTTTCCCGCTCCCTCTCTCTCAGGTCGCGGGCTCGTTGCTCCACCTCCCTCCTCGCTCTCTCAATCACTTCATTCCTCTTCTTCCAGAGCTTAGACCCATCCAGAGGGACAAAGTGGAGGTCAGTACGTGAGCAGGAGTTACTTCCTCTGTCCAGGACCCTGTGGAAACTGAGAGACAGGGATAGGAGAAAAATTAGGAGTAAAACTAAAAAGTCACTGTGAGAGAACATGTAGGATATTACCACTACACAACCCCTAAAACAAAGAATTACAGGTAACAGATGCATTCTGTCAGTCACACAGTCTCACCGAGCTGATTGGCTGGCATGAATGGGAATGTCCACTTGTTTGGGCTCAGGGGAGGGGCTCCTCAGCACTGGAGGCGGGCTTTCTGTCTCCTCCCCTTCCTCGATTGGCTCCTCCTTGATGACAGGGGGCACCGATGAAGCTGAGAAGGAATCAGGTGGTGGGATGGATTGGCCTGCACCAGGAAGGGCAGGGCTAGAGGCGGGGACAGGGAGACTACTGGTGGGACTGCTAAGAGGGGGGAGGGGTTTACAGGAGGGAGTGTTCTGAGGTGACAGTGAGTGACAAGCACTGGAGTTATTATTGTTGTTATTATTCATCAAAGTGTTAGTATTGCTTCCATTATTGTGGAAGGAATTTATAAAGGGGGTGTGGTTATTCAGGTTAGGATGATAAGGTCTGTAACCAGAGGCAGCAGGGGAAGAAGAAGTTGGAGTGGCTGTGGCAGGAAGAGGAGTAGATGCCGATGAGGAGGTTGGGAAGGGAAACGTAGGTGGCGGACCCTGGTGGGGGAAGGCTGTGGCTGAACCCAGGGAAGGGGAGGGGCTTGGGCGGGGTGACTGGGGAGTGGGCGGGGTCAGTGTCTGAATGGAGGATGGATATGGCCCTCCCCGTGCCTGATTGGCCAGACCTGGGGGCAGGCCTTGAGAGTATGGGGATGCAGAGAGGGCAGGGGGATAAGGGGCAGAAGGAGGGCGGGGATGAGAGGAAGAAGAGGTAGGGGAGAGAGTCTGGGAGTGAGGCTGGGAGAGACTGCGGCCAGGGTAGTGTGGGGGATTAGTTGTCGGTGCCCCTGTCTCCCTGTCTCTCTCTCTATCTCTCTCTCGGACCTGGGGAGCAACAGATCCTGTTGGGCCAGGGTATTCCCTACCCACTCCTGGATGCAGGGGGTGGTGAGGTGGGGGGTGACAGGAGTGAGGAGGGTGTTGTATCTGGGACACCCCAGTGTACTCTCTAGGTGCACTTGCACCAGGAGGACTAGGGTATTCCCTATTTGGGGCACTAAGAGGGGGTGGGGGCAGGTAATCTTTTGCCCCCGGAGATGGTACAGGAGCAGGGGTGGGGTATTCTCGTGAAGAGGTGGAGGATGAAGCAGAGGAGTGAGGAGGTATGTATGGGGGTCCCAGGGGATCAGCTGCAGAGGATGCGGTAGATATCGGGGTGCAATTTTGTTGCTGCTGCTGTTGAGGGAATGTAAACTCCAGCGAACCAGGGTACTCTCTGTTTTGAGGTCCTGACTGGGGATGAGGGTTTCCTGTTTGCGTCTGAGACAGGGAGGGGGTGTTAGAGTCCCGATTTGGAGTGGGGTGTTGGGGACTGGGTAGATCTCGATCTCGGGTTGTTACAGGAATGGAGGTTCCTTGTCCACTGTGTGCTCCACTTGAGGAGGAGGAGGAGGAGGAGCTACTGGAGGGATTAGCAGGAGCCCCGGATATAGCCTCCCGGATTTGGCCCGACGGCCCAAAATCCCACCTCTCTGGGATGCCCCCTGCATCTCGTGGAAATTCCCGAGTTGGGTTCGTGTTCGGAGAGAGGCCGTGACTTTGCCCATGACTGCCTGGTTCCCGGTTAGAGGAAAATGCAGAAGCAAACTCTCGATTGGATCCCAAACTTTCCCGGTTTTCCCGGACAGAGCTCTGGGACCCTAACACAGAGTATTCCCGACTCTGATTGGCCAAATTCCCTCCAGCCCCTCCTCCTCTTTCCTGAACCAAAAACTCTCTACTCTGATTTCCACTAGTGCTGTTCATGTTCCCACTGCTACTACTGGCACCAACACTACTACAGCTACCACTGCTACTGTTACTAAAGTCCCTGCCTCCACCTCCTCCAAATTCCCTTAACCCCACTGATCCCCTCTCTCTCTCAGGGATGTCCCGGGAAGATGAAAAGCCCCTGCTGTGCAGGAGCTCCCTTGAGGGGTATTCTCGGTGTGGGTGGCCATGCGTTAAGTGGTGATAGGGAGGGGGTGCGGACATTGTTGTGGGGTGGGTGGGGTGTCTGGGGGAGCTGCTATACACTGAGGGCATCTGCTGCTGGCTGGTTTGCTGATGATGCTGTTGGGGGTACCTAGAATAGCCCCAGCCTCCGGGGCAGTTGGACACCCCTCCACCTCCGGCCTGCCACCCTGTCTGCCCAGGGGGGCTGTAGTGAGGGTGAGTAGGGGCAGAAGAAGGGGACAAAAGAGATGGAGGGCTAGGCTTGTCCACTTTGTCCATCTTGTCTATCTTATCCAGCTTGTCCGGCCTCTCTGTCTGAGTGTCCAAAGGTTTGAGGGCTGGGGGTGGCGGCAGGGGGGGTCCTTGGTGCGGGGATACAGTGGAGGGGTTCTGGAGGCCATAGTCACCCCCACTGCCACCGGGGACACAGTGAGCTCCACCTTTCCTGCTGGTATTTCCTCTGGTTGCTTCAGTGTTTGCATTGCCGCTGGCAGCACTGTTGCTGTAGTCCCCCTTGCTGTGCGGGAGGTGGTGACTTGGGTCTGGGGGAAGGTATGGCCGCCTCCCGCTTTCGTTCAGTAAGTCGCATGCCCCCCGGAGAGAGGAGGCGACAGAGGCGTTGTGGGATTCTCGGACTGCATCTTCGCCGCGTTCTCCATCTCTGTCCCCTCCGCCCCCTCCTTGTTCTGCCCCTTGATCAGAGGCCGTTGTTCTTCGTCCTTCTTCGCCTTCAGATTCTACATTTCCTCCCTTGCTTGCTCTTTCTGCTTTCTCTCCTTTCTCCCTCTCTGCCCTCGAGTCGCTGCCTAGCCCTTTTCCCTCACCCCCTCCTCTTTCTCTGTGATCCGGATTTGAGTCACCCCCTCCTCCCCTCCTGGATCTGGGAGATTTTGGAGACTCTGGGGTCTCAGATTCAGAGTCAAGGCTGGCCAATGGGGAGGCAGAGAGGCTGGGGGAGGAGCTCCGGTTGTCTTGGTCGATGTCCCGCCCACTGCTCAGGCTGCTACTGGCCAAGCTGCCACCCACTGAGCTCCCACTGCCCTGCGATTGGCCATCCTCGTTGTCGCTCTCTCGTAGCGTGGGGGCAGGTCCAGAGCTGGCACAGGGACCAGGGCCATCTCCACGGGAACTATCCAATGCCAGGCCTGGATCAGAATCCTGTTTGTGTGTCAAAGAGTTAAAAAGCTAATTAACTGACAGACTGGGAGTAAAAAAACAATCGTAGAGTATGTGTTTCTATCAGATAATGCAGATTGATAGTACAGACAGCTTATATGTTTTGAGATCCTAAAAATACCAATATTAAACACAGTGGATATTTCAGAAAATGGTTAATGTTTTCTATCATATGCTGTAGAAAGAAAAGGCACACAGCTGGACTAGAATTGACAGAATAATTGATTAGTTAATGAGTCTGAATGATTACAGGCACCTTCACTTTCTGCCTCTTGGATGGGGGTCCCATTCCCTCCCCCTCACTCTCTGACGAATCATGGCCTCTGGATCTCCGATTGACACGTCCACTGGCCAATCCCTCTCCAGCATCTCTCTGTGGGGAGAGGGAGCAATTAAGGAGGGTAAACCCTAGTAGGTATTACTGCATTGAGTAATCAGTTTCCATTCCTGTGATCTCAGAGAGTCTGCGGAGAGTTATCTTAGCAATTTTTTGCTAAGACCAGGGGATCTGGAAAGAAGGCAGTGAATAGCTGAACCATGCTTAAGGGTGAGAATGATCTGGACATCTAGTACTGGAGGCAAGAATTTAGAAGACTAGACTACAGGAGGAAGGAGAAAAGTACTACTACATTCAACAACAAGAAACTGCTCAAAAGAAGAACTACAGATGCATCTTTTCAAAAACACAGCCCCATAATTCCCATTTCTATGAGCTAGAACTCTCAGAGCTCGTACACTAGGCCGTGCCAGTGAGAAGGCCGTGCTCCAACCAGCTGTCCAGCTGAGGAACATAGTTTCGGCCAGTCTCCAGTGAAGGTCTCAAAGGACCCTTTAAAGTTCACTGACTTTCAATTTTGCCAATCTCTGGGGAGACCTAACAAACAGTAACACTAGAGCCTTCCGATCTATAACACAGTCAAACCTCTCGGATTACATGCTGTTGTGCAACCAGAGAGAACCTTCAGCATCTCGGAGTGTTTGCTGTAAGCGAGTCCCTGACGGTTCAAAAAGATTTGCTTATAAGTGATGTTCTCTGACAGGATGCAAAAATCCTTGCCTTTCACACAGGTGCAATCCATGCAATTAGAGCGGAATAGGAAGTTTAGATCAGGATGACCTTTGCCCGGTGACCTGATGACCTTCAGCGACCGTGCTCTCCAGAAAAAGATCACCATCTAGGTAAATCTGTACATACAACACCTAAAACAACTCTACACTCAGTTCAGCTCAGTTTGAGCAGCCCTGATGGCATTTCTAAAAGGCACATATTGCAAAGGAAAATCCACCAGCCACAAGTCCCAGTCCTTGCAGTTTATTTTATAGGAGCTGTCTGTGATTAAGTCATTTCTCATGACCCTGATGGGCAGTGCTAGGCACCATATCTGTGAAGACAATCTGACTGTGAAGCCAACGTAGAGCAGCCTTCAAATGGATCTTGCTGAGCAAGAGCAGCGCTTTCAGAGCTCATCATTGTCAACCATCCTCTTGGTGATTTCTGCTATGGCAGGCTGTAGCCCGCCCATCTCCCGGCCAGACATGATCCTCGAAACTGGGGTTACTGACATTCGCCACAAGGGGCTCAAAACCAAGAGAGGAGTCTGTGTTGGCACAGATCTGTTCAACACAAAGGAGGTTGGATCATATGCACGGCTCAGTACACCGACATTCATCTGTAATTTCCCAGGTGGTCAGGCACATTGCCAAAATAATTCCGAGGAGGATCTAATAAGAGATTTTATGGTATATTACCCCTAATCACTTCAAATGCGGTGACAAAGTAAGACATTTCCACTTCCAAAAGATACCCCTTCATAAGAACCTTTTCACCCATTTAGATCATTTGGTAATTTTGTATTGATAAGATAAGATCACTTTATTAGCTATATACAATTTCTTGCATTAGGAATTTGTCTTTTCACATACCCCAGCTTGCTCTCCATGAGACACACAAATGAGGAGAGAGAAGCTTGGGGTCAGAGCGCAGGGTCAGCCATTTGTACGGTGCCCCTGGAGCAATTGGTGTTAAGGGCCTCACTCAGGGGTCCCAACAGAGTAGGATTCCTCTGCCAGCCATGGAATTTGAACCAGCAACCTTCCAGCCACAGGCACAGATCCTTTGCCACAGTGCCACCACTCCCAATAATAAATTAATCCAAATTTCCTTTCAGATGGGCCTAAATCATCTGGATCCAAACCCCCACAAGTCTTTGTAAAATTAGGGATATAAATTTGTCTTCATCCTAAAACTTTCTTCTTCAGTTCCCATTTGTGATCTTGTGTCCTTATAGTGGAAAATGTGCTTTTTTTCAAACCTATCTTCACTATTTCATTCTGAACTAAAGAGATGTAGTTCCTTTAGCCTGCCCCTATGTGCGAATTCTCTGAAACCAGGAAGTATTCCTATTAGTCTTCTTTGAAATCTTCCCTAGGCTATTAAGAATTTTGAATATGGTGACGGAACACAATATTCTAACTGAGGTGATACTAGAATGTTGTAAAGATAAAGCATAACTTCCCTGCATTTAATTTGGATGTTTTTCTGTTTTATGATCGCTTTCCTCATTGCATTGATGAGGGCATAGATGGATCTTCACATACAGCCCAACCTGTTTAGCATGTCACTTCTTTCTCACAACCACCAATGCAATAAGAGCCTGAGATCCTGCAATCAATGAGGATCACTTTGCACTAAAGGTCAAAGTTCAGTGGCCATATGGCTGTCTACTGCACAATACATGATCTTGTCTATGTCTCTTCGTAAGACTCTGTGTGCACCACTCTCCCTTACTTTTGCATCATCTGAAAAATGGATCTAATGTCGCAAATGGAAACCAACAATATCCATCAGAGAGAACAACACAATTTCAAAACTGTTTGCCTCAAAATATAAATTAAGTATTGTTTCACAAAGTCATCTTAGGAGACTACTAGATGCCATCAGCCAAACCCAAAACACCATTATGCAGTCATGTTCACCTGGAACCCAAGTACAGTACACATTCAGCCACACAGAATGACTAGCAGGAGAGTGGGTCAGCCACACAGTACAGTCAAGCAATGAGACATGGATTGCAGGTCAGTCACAAGGTCAGCAACAAGATGAGGCTAGCAGACCCATGATGAAACAGACAGTGAGGCAACAGAAACAGTACTATAGACTAGCAGACTCAGGGTGGAACAGCCAGTGAGACAGCAGAGACAGTATTGTAGACTAGCAGACTCAGGACGGAACAGACAGTGAGACAGCAGAGACAGTACTGTAGACTAGCAGACTCAGGGTGAGACAGCCAGTGAGACAGCAGAGACAGTATTGTAGACTAGCAG